AAAAAAGCGTTCAACAGCCAGGTAGACAAACATCATAAGAGCTTCAATGGTGGAGCCTGAAGATAGCAAGGAGCCCTTGACTTTAAGCAAGAAGGTATTCCTGATTAATCGGCAGGGAGAACCTCTCCTGTTTAGGTTCACTGCCCCTATCCTTGGCACACAGCAGAGACGGGCCAAGGATGCCGCAGGAGGGAAGGCCATCTTTGATGCCATTCAAGAGGTATGCAAAGACTCTAGGCAAGGAAGGGCTACCAGGGATGGAGAGAATGACAAGGATGTGAGGCCTCTTGCTGAGATCAAAGCTGAAAAGGAGAGAAAGGAAAAGGCAGCTCAAGAGAAGAAGGTTGCCCAGCCTGCAGAGGGTGCCAACACCAGGTGCTTCAGTCTGGGGTTTTGGTATGACCAAGCTTGTAGCTGGCATAGGCCATCCAAAGATCTGCTACAAAGTGAGTGAGGGAGCTGGTTTGTGGAGTAAGACAGTACTGGTTTGTCAAGTCAGACAGCACTGCAAAGACTTGCTGACACAAAGCTCACAGCTAGACAATGTCACAGCAAAACAAGAGAAGGCTTCAAGCTTTATGATCTGGTGGCAGAAGTACATGAACAGCCATGTTGAGCCTTTGTGCAGTGCACATCTGCCAAAGGAGTGGGATGAAGCACTAAAGGGGAGAATCAAGGGAATGTAGTGTGTCAAGAAGCGATGACTAGTATGCTGTCATGGAGCGCTTTGTTTTTCAACAACTTCCACACCTCTTCCGAAGGTGAACACCAAAGCGCAGACTTGCACAAATAGTCTGACCGAAGTATTTGCAAAACGCGTGGGGTGGATCTTTGTAACAAACAAATAGCAGTCATCTGCTGAGCTCTAAGATAATCACAAAGTATGGACTACGACTGTGCTGTGTGGACATAGCGGTCTTCTAAATCTCATGTACTACTCGCTTCAGTGGGGATTTTCATGGCGGTCGTTGCAATGTCCGCTTCCGATTTGCTAAGGCAGGCAGTCTTGCGACTGGCAAAATCCTCGCGCAAGCTGAGTCACGCAGCATTTGTTCGAAGTCAGCGCCTCAAACCCGATCAGATTACTGCTGCTGTCAAGATACAACACAAAGGCATCGTCCGTCGCTTCTTCGAGCTGTGTCTGGAATTGGCTCTCCTTAGACCACCGTGTGATTTATCCAACGTCTTCGCTCTCAAAATCTTTCCACGATCTTCGCGTAGTGGCGGAAGTGTAATCTAGCGGGGAAGGTTTCCAGGCACGGACACTTTCTCTGCCACAAGTGCGGTAATCTCACCGCGTTAGGGCACACTGACGCAAAATTCACTGGATTGACACTGTGATTCACGCGTTACAGACCGGAAGACTTGCGCAGGAAGTCCAGATTATGTCGCGTTGTGCACTCGTTGATGTGTCACAACTCCAGTCTCTTTTGATAAGTTTTAATCTCTCGCATAGTCTCGCATGTACAACAGGCTGGATCCCGTACGGTGTGAGCAGTTGTGTTCGCTTCTGCGCTGACTCGTCTTGAAGCACCCTTAGATTTGCGCCGTTACCGCAAGGCGGCTTTGCAAAAGAATTTCTGGCTGCTCCATCATCGGCGAAGCTTGGATTATCCATCCAAGAAAACAAATGACAGGTCATTGGTTAGACGTATATCTTTCCAGAGCACCGGAGGTAGCATCATCGCCTTCGGAAAGCTTGAGTCTCCGATATCATCTTTTTTGGGCTATCTGTCACTGGCACACCCGAGGGATCAACGACGAGGCTGAGGTAGATAGATGTCTTCTTCAAAGTTGGCAACAATCATGCCCCTCACAACCACCCAAAAAAGGTGAAGGGTCTATATTTGATGCGGCTTTGAGCAGCTTCCAGCAAAATAAGATCTACTCTGACTGGTGGGCAAGAGAGACTTCTGCAAGCATTGGCCATCTTTAGTTACAGCTTGACAAAAAAAGCTTGCGGGATTTGCAGAAGGATACAGCAGCGAGACAAATTTGTTCTGTGTGCTGGTGAGCTTTGGGCTTGCTGCGCACCCAGAATAAAGTGTGAATGTTTGTGCGGTAGCCTACTCTTTAGCGCTTGACATCCATGCATGTAGCTAGAACGTCCTGAAATGCCACTGCATGACCGCTAGATTAGACCTTCCGGCACAAGGACGGTGATAGGCTTCAGACCTTTTGCATGGACGTCAGTCAGAGCCGAGAAGTTTGTCATGATTCGTTACAGAGCAAGCGCCATGAAGTCTGCCCTCACGCGCGTGACCTTATTTCATGAGTATGACCAGCTTCAATCTCTGCCAAGACGATGTCTGAAAGCTGCGATTTTACAACTACGCAATACAGGCTCATCGACCGGCATCAGAACTATGGATGCAGCGTTACAGCGATGAGCAGAGTTTTGGTTGACGAACTCTTTGAGTCACGAAGTTACAGGACGGAGAAAGCTAGAATTTGACCTCTACCACTGCCAATACGCCTTATTTGGTTAGGCACGAGTCACGCGTTTGACTGTGAGAGACACGAGCAGCCAGACAACGCTCACGTGCTTTCCTCTTCTTCTCAACAGGCGAGCAGATTTCAAGTTCGAACCTTTTAATGCTGACGATGAGACTACCAGCGAGCAAACAGACTCATCTCAGCAAACGTGCGAGCTCTGATTTGCACGGTTGTGAATAGATTGAGGCTAGTCACGCTTTACTGTCGTCGTGTGACTCGGAGTTTTGTGTAAAGATGCTTCTAGCGAGAAGATTAATGGAAAAATGTTGATGATACTGAGTCATGCGCTGCGTGCATATGTGTAAATGCGTGCGTAGGAAGCGAGGCCCTTCTCAGAACCTCTTTCTGATCTTCCACATCATTTGAAGCCGCATTTGCAGCCGGCAGTAGAGGTTCCGCGCCGACAATCTGATAGCAGCTGGCGCAAACAGCGCAACCTGAAGCCGTCGAGACTGAAATGCAATAAATTCGCGCAACGCCTGCTTTGCAAAGTCAGAAAGTCCCAAGCAGCCCGCACAAGTGAAGTCACGATCGCTCCGAGGCACCCACAGCGGGACAGGGCAAGAATCTTGTGTACGAACACACACACGCTGACCAGCGCGATGGCTGTTTCCGCGACAAATTAATGGTCGCTCCAATCTCAAATTTGGAGGTGTTCTTATCTGCTCCTTAGTCCAGAATGAAGGGGCCGCGGTCAGTTCTTACTGCCGGCTAGCAAGCTATGCGTTTCTCCTTTCTCTGACCCAAGACCATAGGTTGCTGCAGAGCTGAAGTCAGCAGAGGTGAAGTCAGCATTTTCCGGGCCCAGCATAGCTTGAAACAAATTCGCTACAAACGGAAACCACGGCGCGTCTAGATAAATTTTTGGCGCAAATAGGCAAAAGATTGCAGCTGCAGACGCGACTAGCATGCGGTGATTCAGTTCCCGTGCTGTATCTGCGGTGCAAATGCCCAGTATCACGCGACGGGGGACTGTAGTCGATCGGGCAAGAGTCCACGCCTGCGAGCTTCTGGAAACACATAGCACCTGGTCGAGCTTGCATTGCTGCTTCCATTTATGCGTGTCGACACTAGCAAGCGGCGCGCGCGTCTACTCACGTACAGCAAATTACGGAGTCACGCATCACTGAGAGCTAGTATCATCTGGACAGCGTAGTAACATATTCGCACAACGTGGCACAAGACGAGCAGATCGCGGGCAGTCCGGTCTAAGTCTGAGTGAGAGTTGCTGCAGCATGATTGGCGTGGAGAGAGTGAAAAACCTTAAGGTTTTCGTTGTACCGGTACATAAGTGTGAATGAATCACGATTGTGCGGCGCAACGGAGCAAATTGACACACTTTGCAGCAATGGCAATCCACAAGTTACGAAGGCTAGCGCGTCATAATTTTTGTTGTCATTCTACAGTGAGTTGGTTGCAATTCGGCTGGCATTAGCTGCATCGACCAACCGGGTCACTGAAGTGCTGGAGTCGACAAGAGTTCTGCTTGTTGCTCCTTCC